GAGAGAGAGAGAGAGAGAGAAAAAAAAAAATTTGTTTCTAGTTAATCTTATAGCTAAACATATAAAAAAAATTTTAGAGATTAATTTTTCTTTTAAGTTGGAAATCAACATTGTTCTACAATAGAAATGAAGGTCTACATTTATAAATTTCATTCACATTTAACCTTTTTTCAGTTTGACATATTTTTTTATTATGTTCTTTTAAAGATTAGTTCAGCAAAATTCCTTTTTTTCACCAAGAAAATGAAATGATCACTGGATTTCTGGGAAAAAGGTCAATATTTGCACACAAGAAAGCCAATATCTCCTACATGGCTCACATCCTAACTCTTTTCTTATGCGCACACATTGGTCAATCCCTTCTCATCACTCTAACATCTGCATTCAAGTGAATCAGTTTTTCCCACCATTCCTATGTCCCATCCAAATATATTAATTTCACTCCCAGCTCATCTCATCTCTGTGCAAGACAATCTTTCCTACTTCATGTCACCACTAGGTCAATTTCAATCTCACCCCACCCATTTTCCACTCCACTCGCATGTACCAGTAAATCTTACTACACCTCTCTCACACCCTATACATAAAAAAATCTCTCCCCACCTTCACACAAAGCATAACAAGCTAGTCAATTTTCATCTTTTTACAAATGCTTTTATTATACCACTTATATTTAGTGAGCCTTTGTTTAATATCTACTCAAATAGCACTAAAATGTGAAAATATTATTACCAGCCATCAATTTCAAATTTAATATCACAATGTTTATAACAGAAGTACTCTAAATTTAGTACTTTAAATTTAGTGTGTGTTAGCATCCAGAGTTGGCTGGCTCAATTACTATAATTTTTGGTATGGCAACTGGAAACTGTTTGATTACTTTATTTTAGCATTTTTGCCAAAGAAGGGGGAAAAAAAAACCTTAAATAGGACACATTTCCACTTTTTTTTTAAATACACTTTTGTCTTGCATTATCCAGAGTTGGCTGGGTTGATTACTGTAATTTTTTGTAAGTAACTGGAAAGTGTCCAACAGTGTACATGGTCTTATTTTCTTTGAGGATTTTTGCTTGAGAAGGGGGAATAAAAAAGACCCTGAAATGGGGCACATTTCCACTTTTTTATAGACTTTTGGTTTTAAATTTAAAGACAAAATTATTTAAATCAATTAAATGAGTTAATTATTACCTTCCACATAGCAGGATATGCAATTAGCATCTAATGAGGTATTTAGGGATTTAATAACCCCAAAAGAAGGAAGGGAGACATTATTTATCATTGACCTTTATACAATTTTTGCTTTCTTAATAGGTACCCTCAATTAGAATTTATAAAACTGAGGAACATAGGGGACACAATTTACATTTGGATCTTACGTGCATAAAAGACCTCAAACATTTCTATGAAGCTATAAATTATCTTTATATTTGCACAAACTTAGTCACAGAATAGCTACAACAAAATATAGATTGTTTGAACCCTTACAATTTAATCCTATACTTAGTTTCAGTTACAGATGAATAAAATAAAAACATAGATGAAATCATCTTAAACTAATATTTAAATTTAGAAGAAAACAAACCTTAGTAGAGAGTAATCTGGTGAGAAATATCTCTGGAATGGCTTTGTGGCTATGATCTTTCTGCTGTTGTTCTGAGAGAAGCTCATCTGTGGACTTTACCAAGTGCCAGTAGCAAACTTTTTCATTACTTCTTGGAGAGTTTGGTGTCATGACGCAATCACTATGATCTGTAATATGGAAATGTTTATATGGTGATACTCTTCATAAAATAGAAGTAACAAATTGGTCTAAATTATGACTGTGGAAAACAGTTTTTATTTAAAACTTCTCAAAATACCATTAGTCACATGTTTAAGCCTTTATAAGTTATGTAAGCATTAAGTAAATCTTATATATTATACTCTAATAAATTATTTTCATTTTGGATGAAAGCACAGCATTACTTGATGGGTCCTGAAATCCTCGTTTCTTGTTAGGCACTAAACTCATCACAGCTGTTTCCCTGATTCCATAGTGATCCAAGGTATTGATGCGTTTCCACCCATTGACTGTTTTGGTTGTCAAATCTTCATCACTTAGAACCAGATGCCCTCCTCTACCATGGTGCCATTCTGTGAACATTAATTTTTAGTTATGAAATTTTCAAATTTAAAAGTAAACTTTTGCTTTTGGTTGAAAACAACAACTACAGAAAAAATATAAAACAAACATGTATATGTTTTTGGGACTAAAAAAAATATTCAAATACAAACACACCTATTCTACATACAAATATATACTTCCTTACTCATATAATAATATAAGATATTTGAGAAACTAAGTTCGTAAAATGCTTTATGAATTCCATATCCTTTATTCTGTTTATGGACATAAAATATGGTAAGCTTATCTACTACAAATTCAAATTTCATGAAAAAAAACACAATAGCTTGCCTAGATTTACATCCTGAACAGCTGGTCTCAGCGAGAAGGGGGTGTTTTTATACAAGATATCTAGAATCTTGGCCTTAACCTGTGTAATTGTATCACAGCTATTAACACGGCACTGTAGTTTCTCATCTAAGTCTTCTTGAACAACTTGAATGCACTGGAAGAACAAAGAAGCTTCATAAGTAATTGTCATTGTGTTGAGATAACATAACATTGAAGGAAAAACATGGAACATGTTGGTCCATCTCGGCTTTCACATCCTCTAAACTAAACTATTATAAATTAAAAAACAAAAAAAGTCTTAAAGCCAACCATTATCATTCATATAATTATCAAGCTTCCTCTTAAATTCACTTAAATTTACTGCCTCCACAACATCCAGAGGCAACCCACTCCAAAGGCCAACCACCCTGTTAGAAAAATAAAACTGTCTTAGCTGAAGATGACTTCTACCCTGCCAAAATTTATATTTGTTTCCTCTAGTCCTACAATCTTAAACATTTCACTCAGATCCCCCATAACTTTTCTTTCTAAGATATAAATCTTAAGTATCAATAATATTGTTGCGTCATCGAGATCATGTGATTCTCACGCTCTCTACTTTCTAGAATTATCCTGTACTTTGGCGAATGTTCTACTTCTTACTAGATGTAGGGTAGGCTGATATATATAAGAGGGGACAACGTGACGCGGTAATGTAATGTGTGTGTGGAGACAGTGAGTAATTGAACTGCAGTCAGAGAGAGACGTATTGTTGTAGTTAACGTTCGTTCCTTATTATAGTTTGTTTAGCGCGATTGTTGAAGTTGAGTGTATCGGTAAAGTTATATTCGGAAAGAATAAACCAGTTTTATTAAGTAAAGACTTGTGTCGTTAAAATTTCGTCGGAACGAAGTTACGGAAAAATCAATTAACAAACGGAGACGTAACAAATTGGTGTCAGAGAGTGGGATAGAAAAAAAAAGAGAAGAAAAATGGAAACGAGAGGCGGCAAATCAGACTACAGCCTAGCAGATTTGATGGCAGCAATACATAAACAAGAGGAGAAATTACAGCAGTTGTTGGAGGAGAAAGAAAATAAACAAGAAGAGAAATTACAACAGTTGTTGGAGTTAAAAGAAAAGAAACAAAAAGAACGAGAAGAGAAATTACAACAGTTGTTGGAGTTAAAAGAAAAGAAACAAGAAGAACGAGAGATTAAA